GCATAGCAGCCAATTTTGGCCCTGAAGAAGGCATAGCAACCTGAATAAGGTAGATCAGAATGAATTAAAAAATTACAAGTTATAATCCTTTTGTACAATTCCTACAATTTTCTAGAATTTTTGGAATCTGGAAAAATTTTTAAAAAATTGAATACACTCTCAAATTCAGATCATTTACCAGAGCTATTAATTAATACCTAATAACTTTTTAGATATTTTCCTTTTGTTTTTACATTACAGAAACATTCTCTTCCTCTCAAATTACTTTTTGCTTAAGATATTTTGTCATTTTAATATCAGTCTGTATAGATTTAGACTTATGGTGTCAAATATAGTCGCAGACTAAGCAGTAGCAAGTTTGGTCTTATATATCTTTTTTTCTCTTTACATGACCAAAACAGATAAGAGTACTCAGTTCTTATCTTTAACATTTATTATTTTTATGCATGGTCAATTGAGGTTACCATAAATCAGACCAATATTTATAGCAATTACAATTTTTAAATCATTTTCCAGTTATCATAAAGGTGGACAAGAGAAGCAAACAGCAGTCAAAAGTTGCATTGTTGGCTTGTACTCCATTATAAGTATAAAATTGTCCCTTGTCATTAGTAACTCACTCACACTTTAGAGTGATCACTGAATGTGCTCTGTATTGGGCTACCACTATAGACTAGCCAAGAGCTGTGATCGATGCAAAATACATCCATCTGCCTGAGTGAAAGCCTCCTATATAGTAATAATACCAGTGTAGCAGGGATGAGAAAGTTCTGGTTAAAGATATAAAGCTAGCAGAAGTTCCAGGACCTTCTGCTCTACTCATAGAATCTACAGTGATTCTACACACCTCAAGGAGGGATATTAGAAGGTTCTTCCATATGTGAACTTAAGGAAGACATGTTCAGTTTCAGTTATGATTCCATCTCTTTGGAACAGGCATACCTTGGATGGGACTTTCTCTACTTATGTTGAGTAAATTGATTAAGGCTGAGCTGCTTCACAGATTTTTTAGGATGCAATCTCAGTTGGTCAGCGGGATCAGAGGTTTAGTCTTCTGAGCTTTCTAACTTGTGCTCAGGGAACCTCTCTCTACACACATTCCAGTAGAGACAAGCTCCCTGAGAATGGGCTCCAGCATGAGTCCAAAAGCTTGGAAGATTAAACCTTTGGTCCCATGGACCGACCCAAATTAGATCCTGCAACATTATCCTTGGACACATATATTTGTGTTCATTTATAAAGATTATTTACTTGTTCAGGTTGCTACTGGAGGTGGCAAGTCAAAGATTGTTTATCACATTATGCATTCTGTTTTAATTGTATTTGATATGTTTGGGTTAATTTAAATATATTTAACTACACATTTTAAGTGCCAGTCTATAAATATAGCAATTAAACAAATACAATCAATCTCTAAAGAAATATATGTACAGTAGCTTGGACTACTGTAATGTGCTCTAAGCGGGGCTATCTTTGAATAGCATTTGGAAGCTGCAACTGGCACGGAGTAAAACTCGGCATAGCATGGGTTTAGGTTACTTGAAGAACCGACTAACCTCTATGGTGTATGACACCTATGCTGGCAAGTCTACAGTACCTGGGCTGGCAGAAGATGCAGGCTGCAGATCCTGTCAGTCAAGGAACTCTGGGTCCAGGAGAACCGCCTTCTCTGACATGGTGACATTGGCTCCCATTCTTCCTGATTTTCCATAACACCCTGAAAACCTGGCTCTGCCAGTTGGCTTGGGGCCCCAATGGGAGAATTTCACACTGGCAATAGTTGATCAACTAATAGCACCCCCCCCACCCCCATATTCTCCTCCTTCCCCATTGTTAATTATATCTTGATTTATTTGGACTGTTGATGTGACTTTATATATTTATGGTTCATCTTAATGTTGTAAGCTGCCCAGAATTGCCTTGTGGTGATATGGGTGGCAAATAAATGTAATAAATAAATACACATATACACACATATAGCAATAGCACTTAGACTTATATACCACTTCATAGTGCTTTTACAGCCCTCTCTAAGCAGTTAAAGAGTCATCATACTGCCCCCAGCAATCTGTGTCCTCATTTTACCCATCTCAGAAAGATGGAAAGCTGAGTTAACCTTGAGCTTGGTGAGATTCAAACTGCCAAACTGCTGGCAATCAACAGTCAGCAGAAGCAATACTGCAGTCTAACCACTGTGCTACCATAGCTTTTATATATGTATAAACAAGATATGTATATATATCTTGTCTAAGTATACACACACATACATGCACACACAAACCAGAGGTGGGCTTTTGCCGGTTGGTCCTGGCTCCGCCCACCTTCCCGGACGCATGCACCTGCACAGAAGTGTCGCAAGTGCGCACGATAGCAAAATAAATTGAAACCTACCACCGACACAAATACATGCCAAACATTAATTACAAATATGCTCATCTTTCCCTCTGTCATATTATTTTTTATGTAGCCTACAAGCTTTCCAAAAAGTACTATAATACACCAACAAGTATCAAAATAGTATACATCTGTCATTGTTAATGGTAGTAAATCCATTTAGAAACAAAGATAAGGAACGACACAAACTATCCTCTGAAATATGGTAAGGACTCATTTGTGGACCCTAGAGTGCCAAAATGATAGGTAGAGTATTTTGGAGCCTTTTTTAATTTTATTTGGGAAAGAGAAGTTCTGTCTCATTTAACATTTCAGGATTAAGTGGAACAATCTGAAATGCAAGTCTGATCTTGACAAATGTGAACTGTTCTCCAATGGCAGGCTTATGTAATTATAAATTTCTTGGTAGAATCTGAATTATAAGGGACCTTTAGGTCATTCCATCCTATATCCTACCTAGTGCAAGAATACACTAAATCATTTTCAACAAATCTAGCTCCAGTGTGAAGACCTTTAGTGTGGCAGAGTACATTACTGTTCTAGATAGACTGCTCTAACAATTAACATCTCTTTCTGTCAGAAAATTCCTCCTAATGTTCAAGTAGAATCTCTTTTCTATTAATTTCAACTGATTGGCCTTTAAACTACTCTTCAGTTTCCACAGAGAATATGTACTCCATCTAGTGTGCATGACAGCCTTTTACTTGTAGACCTTTATCATCCATAAAGATATAAATGTCATCTATATGTCTATACCCCATGTGCACCTTGCTTCGTTCCTTGCCATCTTTGTTAATTGCAAATCAATTTAATGTTAACATTCATTATTTTAATTGTTTAATGTTTTATCTTATTGCATTTACTTGGTTATAAACTGCCTAGAGTCCCCTCTTGGTGAGATTGGTGGCATATAACTTAAATAATAAAAGGAAGATTCTATTCTTTTGGAAGTTAAATATGCTTAGTTCCTTTAAACATTCTTCATAGGATTTAGCTTCCAGATCCTTTATCATCATGATTACTTCTTTGTGATCCAATAGCACCTTCTCCATGTCCTTTGTAAAGTGTTGTATTTAGAATGCTGTTGCATTCTGACTTGGATACAGTGCTTTTGCTAATGCAGCCCAATATTTCATTGGTCTTGTAAGCTGCTGCCTACTTACCATATATTCAGCTAGTGGTTTATTAGAATCTCTAAATCATATGCAGTGGTGTCAAGCAGATCTTTTCAATCCTGTATCCATGTGCATTATTTTTCTCGCTTAAATTCAGGACCTAAAACCTATCTCTATTGAGCCTCATCTTTGACCCAGTGTTAAAGCTTCCACTTAGAATTGTGATGTTGTCCTCTATGACATTAGAGATTGGAAATTTGATCAATATTCTTTTCACTCCTTCCCGGGATGATTTAGAAAGGTGCCCAAAAGGATGCCGTCTAACAGGTTCTACTAGATGTTTTAATGCTTTACCTCAAACATGACAGATATTAAAAGAAAAACAACATCAGAGTAGGATCAAGAGCATTTTTTAGGAAAGGAGATCTCCATTAATAATCAGTCCCTTCTTATTTGCCCTGCAATTCAGGAAATATAGCTGAGTAGGATCTGGATATCAGGAAGATGATATTCCTTTCTGGCAATAAATCAAGAGTGGGCAAACCTTGACCCACACAACCTATGTGGCATGACCATTGTTTTGGTAATGTGGGGGGGAGGAGAAGGGGGAATCTAGATTGCATTCTATTGTCATAGAAACATATGCAGAACTATGCTATGCAGCAACAAATGTGTCTGATACCAGTGTGAAATAATTTCCTGTGTAACGCTAGACATATTTAAAAGCAAATCCCTGTTTCCAGTAGTGGCTAAAAGCTAGAAGTAGAAGTGATTTGCTTTACTCATCCCTGTATAGTAAACTTTTACGCCAGTGTTTTTCAACCTTGGTAACTTTAAACAGTGTGGACTTCAATTCCCAGAATTCTCCAGTCAACCAAATTGGATCAATAGTATCTTCTTCCACTGTTACCCAAATACAGCAAGAATGTTTCTTTAATATGATTCTAAAAAGGAAGAATCTTCTCTATGGATGCCGGTGGCCAGGAAGCAGTGGCAATGTGGTCAAAGTCAGAACCGATTGGCATTCTCCAAAGTAGCTTGTTTCCTCCAATTTCAGGGAGAGATCGTTTTCTGTTTCTACAAAGAAAGAACATTAAAGTATGTAGTCATTTCCTACATATGGAAATAGAGAGAAGCATTATCTCATCTTTCTAAATATTTCCTGCTGGATGAAAGAACCACTGGAGGCAAAGTACATTTCAGTATATCCTATTATGGACTCAAACATAGAAAAGGGAAAACCACATCTTAAGGACATTATTTATATTAAAAAATCATGTGTCCTGCATTCGATCCTGAAAAGCAGGAGCATGAAAAATGAAGCTCCAATGGGCTTTAGCAAAAATGCTCCTTTTTTTCCAAAACAGTCAGTTTCCTATCAAATGAGACTTCTTGTACCAATTGACACACTTTAGTAATGTACTGTCAGTTCTACCATGGTTTTTAAGAACCTTCTTTGGTAATTTATGCTTTCCCTCTTCTATCATGCAGGTTCTCCCTACAGAGACAAGATAACTATAGCCATTCTTCACTTGCAAGAGGAAGGCAAGCTGCACATGATGAAGGAAAAATGGTGGCGAGGAAATGGTTGTCCAGAAGAGGAAAGCAAAGATGCCAGTGCTCTTGGAGTACAAAACATTGGTGGCATCTTCATTGTTTTGGCAGCAGGATTGGTACTTTCCGTCTTTGTGGCAGTGGGGGAGTTTTTGTACAAATCCAAAAAAAATGCTCAGTTGGAGAAGGTAAATATTGCCCTTTTCACATTTAATTCTGCAATTATGGTCTAGTCAAAATCTCTTGGGCAACCAACCGAAAAGCCATTCTGATGTCTTTCATAGTTTTGCTCACATCATTAAAGTTCTTAGGGAATGAGCACTGAAGTTTTCATCTTTACAACTTTTAATGTGTCGTCAATATTTTTAATTGTAGCCAGCTTTCAGGACAAGTGACTATTTCTCCTCTTATTCAAGCTTGAAAAAAGACACCTTTTTACTCCTGGAAGTTCACTGCAGTTAATTTTATGGATGAAGAAGAAAGTGAAATCTGTTAATTGGAAACAAAATTAACCTTCTACAGATAGAGCTGGGTTTTAACTGAAACAACTTTCTATCAGTCCAAAATCAGAAGTCTCAAAAGCATCCTTCTCTATGTCCTTACTGGAAGGTGTTTACTCTTCAACATATGATGATAGCATCTGGAAAAGCATTAATTCAATATATTAAGGATTTACTATTGATTATGATTTTATCATCTGTAACTTGGACAGATTCCAGTTTAAAATGTAAATTTTTGAACTTATTTGATACTGGATCAACAACTGGATGGCTGATTATTTTTTCAAAGAGACAAAAGCATCCATAGAAGCTTTGTTTCAGTACTTATCTGTATATATGTAATACGTAAAATGAGGAAACATGTCTTTTATTTATATGGATTGCTGTGAATATACATTTAAAACAGGGAGAAAATATGTTTTGCACAGCTGAGGAGCTTGTGACCTCCTTAAATGCATATTTTGGCACTACTATTATCAAAATGTATAGTAAATCCATACAAACACACACACAAAGTATACGTTTCTTTTGCAGATGCTATGCTTAATAGTTCTCATAATTTTTAATAGTTTGGGGACTTCTGAATTTGCACTTGTAGATTAATGCTACTTGTACCACATTTATTTAGTATGCAGTTATACCTAGTTCACTGGTGTAAGTGTATATAGTTCACTATCTAGCTTTTTTCATTAGTAACACATATATCATTTTTTCAAAGTTCTGTCAGAAGAAATATTGATATTAACTTAAAAAAAACAATGGATGAGGTCACAAGTTCCTTATCAGTTCTTTGAATATGTATGTGTTTCACTAAATTATGGTATGAGTGAAAATTTAGTTTTTCGCTAATTATGGAGGATGAATTCATTCTGTCAAAATAGTTTTGAAGTTTTTAGCAATTAAAATGATTTTTTCTTTTAGAAAATGGACTTCAGTCATGAATGTATACATCATAATGGCTTTATCCTTTTTTAAAACAATGTCAGAAATGAGTGATTGTTTTGTATTCTTGGTCTGTATTTTTTTATAAAAACTATTTTTATTTATATATGACGTTCAAACATTTTATTGTGAGTTTTGTAATACAGTTGAAGTTGCATTTAAATTGCTTAAATGCAGCTTTAGTTGATATATGAAAATATGTGAACAGCATGACTTATCTTCCTAAACATTGAATGAATATGCATATATATAAAATATGACTTTTACAATAATTTAATATTATAACTCAGTTCATATATTAAGCTATCTTGAATTGTTCAAACACTTCTGTAATATAGCACTGATCTTTTCTTTCACTTATGGTACACAATGATCTACATGTATGTGTTTTCTACATGGAGATATAATACTGGGAGATTATGGCTGTGCATATGATAGATTCTACCTTAAAACCAAACCTTGGTTATAATAATTTGAATGAAAAGGAATAGAGAACAGGACTTATGTGCCAAATCCAGTTCAAGGACTTACTAAATCCTGTTCTTGTCTTTCACTGCTGATGATCATATGTTCCCCATACATATTTAAAGGAAAGGTATACACAGCTTTAAGTGACCATACATAGAAGCCTCTGATTTAGAAACCCAGATGATGATGATGATGATGATGATGATGATGATGATGATGATGATGATGATGATGATATTATAAGATTTACATTCCATCTCAGATAAGCAAGAAATATTCATAATTATTGGGAGGTTGGCATTCTAAACATTTTCAGTTTAGTGCAGGTAGAAACCTACTTGAGTTCTTCATATTGCATATCACTGGAACAAAGAAGATGGAAGCACTACAAGCTAGTGCAAGTACAAATTTCTGCCCCGGTGCATTTCAGCTGAATGTCTAACATGGATTTTGCCCTCCTGATTTATAAAAACCTACATGATGCATATTATTAAGCAACACAGCACTTTGGGTCACTTCAGAAAATGTGCTACAATTTGCATGTGAATGAAAACATACTACTTCTTTATAAATCTTGTAAGTTGCTGTGTGTGTTTGTGGGTTAATGGAATTGGGAGCTGCTCTGGGCAGCTGTTTGAAAGATTTATAGTCCTATGTTATGTTTGTATCACCATGTACCACGAAACACATTCTTGGAATCACATTTGAAGCACTGCACAGCCTTACCATATAACGCGTTCATTCTAGAAACATATTGTAGTTCATTTGTAGAAAATGAAATATGCATTTTCATTTTCTTGTTTTATCATTAGAGATTTGTCATTGTTTAATTTAAAGCCTATTTATTAGCATATAACTTAAACATGACAATGTATTGAGCTGATTCGGCGGCTCAATGATGACTATTTTAAAAATGAGGTTGCAAGGCCATGCCAGTCTGTAGCGATCAATCAAAAATCTTGTGGCATTTTAAGGGCTATAAAAGATTGTTTGGCCCACAGTTTCATCAGACGTACAAATCAGACTGTCTAATCAACTTCTTGGCAATTTGAATTCTATGAGAAGGCACTTTCAAAGTGCCTGTGGGGAAGCAGGCCCATGTGAATAAATTCTCAGTTTTAAAGTTAATGTAAAGTTCCTTACATTCTCATGAAAAGAATTTCAGAAGTTAATAATTGATCAGATCAGCTCTTTTTCTTAAAAATAATTGAACTGGCTACATTAAGCTGTTAGCTGCCAATCATTAAGTCATTAGCAGCTGATCATATGAATGCAGCCATTTCTAGGAAGAAGGTGTTTGTAACTTTACTCCTTGATAACATATATCAATTGATTTGGGCCTGATTTGATCAGAAATATTTCTCATTTGATGACTTTGTCACTGCAGAAGGTTGTGGATGTAATTCACTTTTGGTGCTAAATCACAATTTCTGATGTCAAATGGATTTATGTTGCTGTCTCTCACCTTTTCTTAGATCAACAGAGGTCTTGAGGAATAGCAGAATGCATTGCTTTTCTCTTTTCCCACAGGTGCTCCTGTTGTCATCATCACCATCACCTTAATTTAATAATACTGTGGAAGAGTTTAGTTTTAAAATGATCATTGCATCTTTTTTCAGTCTGTTTATCAAGTGAAAAATGATGTCTCATTGTCTGAAGGCTATACCATGCCACTTTTTGGTCTCATCTGCAGCATCGTTTTTTTTTTTTAATTCCCCTTTGCCAAATATTTGTCTGCTTCTATGTGTGACCACATAAGTAGATACAATAATATGCAAATGATCTTTATAGCACTGAACATTCCATTTAAAATATATTAATGAAATTTTTAGGCACAAGAAGAAGGAAAACTCAGATATGCACCAAATAAATAAATAAATAAA